CCTTGTACACCTGCACAGTACAACAGTGGGGGAGCCCCAAGTTGCGGGGGGGAGGGGGGAAAGATGGGCCACGCAGATGTGCAGTGCAGCAACTGGTTGGGGGGAGTGTCTTCGCAGCATGCCTGGTGTGGTCCCCAGGGGTACAGAAGTTGGACTTCCTTGATTTAAACATCAGAGTTGCATTGTTAAAGACTGCAAATGTGCAAGTTGGTCAACAGTTTAAAACATGTGCTAATTCTCTGCTCCTGCTTTCTGCTCAGGTGTTGATTTCACACTCTTAATTTTCTTTTTAAATGGATTGGCATGCTACTGCAAAAATATTCCATAATGACATAAGCCATGCACAGTGACTAAGCACTGCTGAACAAAATTCACCTTTTGCAAATTTTTAAACTATGCAATCTTTCAACTTGACTGTATCCTTTTATATTTTCTCTGCCTCCACTTGTTAACAGTATAACTAGTTAGCCTGGAACACTCCAATCTAAAGAGAACAGAAAACACTTGAAGTTCTCTTGGAACTGAACTAAAGGCTAAGTAAGCATCAAATCTATCATCACATATGGAAAAGGGTTTTTTTGGTGGGTTGCTTTTTTTTTAAACAACATAGTCTACTGCATTGGAAACCTTCCATGGCATAACATCATCAATTGTTCAGTGCCACAATGACAAGTTTATCACACTGTGCCACAAACATAAAATGAAGCAAGCAACCAACAGTCTATTTCCCCAAAATAACATACTCTGTCACTGTCAAAGCAATCCAAAACTCAAGAATTCAAAATGAAATGATGAGGGTTTTATGCTTTTTGGACTTTTTATTTTTCACAAAGCTCTTCTAAATATATTTCTTATTCAGCACAGTCTCCAACAGTAACACATTCAAAAATTGCAGACAGCAATTGCTTACTTTAGCCACAAGTATCCTGTATTCCAGGGATCAGCAACCCCCCAGCACACAGGCCATTAGTGGCACGTGGAGACATTCTTCCCCGCAAGCTGGGAGGCATGCAAGAAAATTGTTTACATTTTTTGTTTGTTCATTTTAAGTTGCTGCTCTGAGCTGTCTGTGCAGCCACAAGTTGCAGCCTGGTGGCAGGCACTGGGGTGGAGCCAGGGGAACACAGGCAGGGAGGGTGTCTGTGCTCTACTGCCCCCGCCCCTTGCTCCCAGGCTGCACCCTCCAGCCTGGCTGGCCCCTGGAGGGAGCTGCGGATAGAAAGGGCGGGGGCAGGTGCTGCACAGGGTTCCAGCAGGTGGCAGAGCCCTGGGCCCAGGCGAGCAGACACCCTGTCCCACCTGGGCAGGGCAGCACTGGGGTGCTGAGTGCTGGGGCCAGGCAGTCGGGGCAGGGGCTGGGCATCGGCACTATGGGCAAGCCAGTCCAGTCAGGCCCTTAGGAAGGTGGGGGCTGGGCAGGAAGTGGGGGCTGCCCCATGGCTCTGCGGGCTCCAGCTGTGGTGGGTGGGCAGGCGTGGGTGCTCAGCAGCACCCGTCATGGGGCTGAGCCAGGCTGGGCTGGGCCTGACCCGGCCCACGTGGCTCCGCAGGGATACGCCTCAGCTACCCTGCGCATGTGGGGATGCTGCCTGGCTGGGGCAGGACTCTGGGCTCGGGGGGCTTCCCTCTCTGGGATCGGCCTCTCTGCACATTGGGCACAGCGCTGGCAGGGCAGAACCATCCCCGGTGCAAAGGCCTGGCCACAGGAAACCCTAGACCCTGGGAACAGCCACCACGACTGCCCCAGCCTGCCCAGGCTCTGGCCTTGCCCACCTGCAGCTCTCCTTAAGGGGCCAGGGCAGGTACTGCACAGAGCCGCTGCATGGCAGGCTCCTGGCCAGCTCGGCCCTGAGCAGCATCTGTTCCCAGAGCCCAAGGGAACAGCCTGCGGCTGTGGCTCCCACTCTTACTGTACCCAGCATGCAGGGAGCCCCAAGCCCAGCATCCTGCCCCAGCCAGGCATCCCTGCAGAGATCCACAGGCTGGCTGGGCCCCACCTCCAGTGCTACTGGGCCCCCGCTGTGGCCTGAGGCAGCTCCCACTCCCCGCCTGACACCAGCTCTCCTCCAACTGCAGCCATCCCAAGGGCCTGGCCAGGCCAGCCTGCCCGTAGTGGATAAGAGCTCTCTCATATTGGCACATTTTACATTTTGTAACATTAGAAAATACTTTTAAAACATAACTTATCATTCCCATAATAAGTTATATAGTCAAGTCAGAATAGGCAGAGAGTTCAACTTTAATGTAAATTAGCATAATTAAACATATCAATTTTTAAATAAATTTAAAACTCAGGAAAGGTTGGGTGTATTTTGTCATATTAAGATACAAGCAATGGCCTTCTCTTGGACTGGCCTGCAGTACTCGCAAGTATTTCTGCCATTGAAAAATATATCCATTGCAAACTCAGAGTGTTAAAATGTGCTTATTATGCTTCACTACATTGTTTTTTTTAAACAGATGAAGTACACCCCAAGCAGAGAACTCCGCAAGTGTGACATAACTCTCCCTGTATTCCAATATTAATTATTTGCATTATTTTCTACAAGGACCTTCTAAAATTGGACCCTCACTATGTACAAGGTATATAAACATGAGGTGCCACCACCAAGACCTGCCAGGCTAAACAAACAAGATATACAAAAAGATGGGAAATGGGAAAATCACAGTCAAATAGGAAAATGAGGCATGGTTAAATTAAGCAGTCTGCAAAAGATCAAAGAGAGTAAACCTAAATTTGTGTCCTACTCCAATTATGTCCTTGTTTTCTCAAAGGCTTAAGTGATGTATAGGACCTTGGGCAAGCTCTCAGGAATAAACAGCTTTTTAAAACAGTGTGTTTGATGGACACTTCCATGTACATAGCTGAACAATACTTTTGTAATACAGCTGGGTTGCTGACTGTGGGTAAGACTTGAGAATATTGCATCCAGAGCAGACTAATCCATTTCTGCTACTGATTACATGCTCTTAAATATTTTGGGCATTTATACACATGCTCTGGGAGGTATGAATGTGTGTGCGGGGTGTCTTTTAATTAGAGCAGCTCCAAGAGCCACTCTAATTAAAGCGCCCAGAGTGTCACATGTATTGGTGTCCCCGCACTGAAAAATGGCAGCAGGGGCACTTTAACTAAAGCTCATTGAATGAGCTTTAGTTAAAGTGCCCCTGCTGATATTTTTCAGCACGGGGACATTGATACATGTGACACCGGAGTGTGGCTGGAGTGTGGCAATTACCACACTCTAGTAGATTCAAATTATAGAGCATCAGAACAGCCTTGATGCACGTGTACAGGTGGCCCTAAGAGCCACGGAAGTGTAACAGAGTCAGATTTGTTAAGTGGTGGGATTTTCAAAATGTGATTGAGGAAGAGGGGACAAGCTGGATGGTTTAAAAATATGTTCTGGATTCTCTTCCATTTTTAAATATATTGGCTTTACCTATTCATGTTCAGAGACTGAAAATGATAACAGAGATACCATATTGTGTAAAATGATCTGGTTTAAAAAGCAACAAAACCTAATTTCAGCACTGTGTCAAAAGAGAAAGGATGATACCAGCCTTAGATTAAAAAAAAAAAAATGTGGAGGACTCCCTTTATTGCCAGCACTGCCAAGGAATGTAAGAATGTATTTCCTATCCCAAAGACACTCTGGAAACCACTCCTGTAACATGGAGCTAAAAGTGAACTGTGAAAGATCAGTAACACTGGAAATAAACAGTACCACATGATAATTTAACAGAGACAACATCTGAATATAAATGACAAGAAATAGCTTGGGGAGATGCTGTAACCCCAGACGGGAGGAATTCATGACCCTGAGCCATTTATTAACCAAAAATATTGTCAGAAAGGCAGGCAAACATCATTAAAGAAACGAAAGAAAATTGCTTCATAGGCCATTTTTGCCTCCTTAAATTGCCTTGGCTTCTTTTTCTTTTGAAATCTCACTTGCTGTTGTGAAGTCATTAGAAGGCTCCTTCATATAGCATGTATAGTTTGCATACAGCTACAGTGTCCATAAAAACAACAGAATCAGACATTGCTGAGGCCTCAGTTACGAACTGAAATGACACATTCAAATAATGCAAATCCCCCTCATCAAATTCGATATCTCTCCCCACACCAACCAATCACCCACTTAGAACTTTCCATTCCCTAATTATGGACATTTTGAGGAAGAGTAAGGACAAGCTTTTAAGATGACCCAGAACAATTTCTACACACAAAGTGGGCTTATGCTTTGTGCTTTTTTCTAGGTGTTAAGAGAGACTTAAACGTGAGGAGGTTTATCCCCCAGCAAAATTTTGTATCTTTCCTGTTGCCTTTGAAATATCCAAAATATCCAATCTCACCTTTCCTGATTTTGACAAAGGTCCACTGTGAGAACCTGGGAACTACCATAGCCCACTATTTTTTTGCAGGAATCCAAAGACTCTTCCAGGAAGTAACTGAGACGAAAAAAAATCTAAGTTCTGGCAAAGTGTGTGGAAAAAATATTAAGTTCCTGGGCCTCTTTTTTTTTTTTTTAATATACAGAAAAGGTTTTTCGTTTTGTTGGGTTTTTAAAAAAAAACATTTTTATGAAGCCTTTAGTGTGGCTCTACATAGACAATTGATTTCCCTTTCCATGACCAGAAAGAGGTAGTTAGACCTGTTAGTCTAAAGTCAGACAGAAGGCAGGGTAGATTTGCACCTTACAGACTAACTAAATCAGAGACGTATAGCATAAGCTTTCATGAGCCCAAGCTTCCCAGTCAATTTGATTAAATCTTTACTCATTTTTCTCTCCTAGTCAACAGCATTCCCTTAAAATTCAGACCGTCTGAGCCACCTATATGTAAAAAAAGATATAGTGATTCTCAACCAATTCAAGAAATCAGGTGTTGCCCAAATTAAGCACCAGGGTAATTTTGTCTTCACCTGTAAAAGTTCCACTCTGAAGGAAAAAAGCAGACATCCATGTCATCATGCAATAAGTTATTTAAAGACTCACCTGCTATTGTGAGCTTGGCTGTTCTGCTTACAATGGTCCCAAGGCTTTCCACAGTCGCCACGCACTGATAGTATCCTTCATCAGGTTTATTGTGTTTGGAATGCACTACACTGTTTATTAATAAAGATCCATCAGGTAGCAGCTGGCGACGATCATCTGACACCAAGTTTAGAAAAGTTCCATCTTTTTTCCACTCGATTTTTGGAGAAGTCTCACAAAAAGCTGAACAGTTCAGTACGACTGAAGCTCCCCGAACAGATAACGTGTCCGTGGGCTCCACCACAAAATAGAAGGGCGTGAAGGTTCTCACACTGGATGCTGCGAAACACAAGTAAAATTAACAATCAGTTCATCCTTCTACCGTTTGTTAAAAGGAGATGCATTTCTTTCCCCACTCCCATCCTCCACAAAAATTTATTCCTCCAAAATGTTTCTAGTAATCATTTACAGCTGAAAGTATGCCCCTGAATATTTTGGAAAGGCCACATTCTCAGCAAGCAGTGATATTTTTCACAACAGATGCTTTGAGTGAACAACTGTATGGTACATCTAAAACATGTGTTTATGAAAACGTGGAAAACCTCAGGGGAAAAGAAAAACAAAAAAATCAATTGTGTGTTCCTGCTTAAGAAGGAAGCAAACTGATTGGCTGGATCTTTATGGTTCCAAAGGTTTGTACCAATGGCCTTTTAATGCCCTATTGTGATTTATTTTTGTATTATAAAACCCCAGTTACTTTCCAGACAACATAAGGTTTAGCTACAGTGCCATGCAGCTATATTCAAACTAGTTCCAGAACAGGAAGGTAATAGGTCTCAAGGCAAGGAGAAAAGGGAGCTCCGAGCTGATGTGACCACGATGGTTTTGGGCTCCAAGTAACAATCTGCATGGAACAGCACTTTACTGTGAGATATTGTCACATGGCAAGCTATATAGATACACACACCTTGCCTAAAAATATTACATCTTATTAATCAACAAATATATAAGCACATACACATTTCAGTTTAAAAAGAAAAAAAAAGGAATTGGTTTGCCCCAACTTGTGGGTATACAACAAAATTTGGACTCCATTAGAGACCTGTGCCATCAAACAGAACTATTACATAAAGTCATATTTATTGTACTGGCAGCAAGTCTACACAGGAGAACTAAAAAAACCCAATCCTCCCTCTTTAAAACTCCAGTCTTTAGCCACACACTATCATCACTCTATATCAGAGCATCCTAAACAAAGAATTAATACCATTTAACTATGATTAAGTCATATAACGTAGTTTCAAGCCTATTCCAAATTCAATTTAAAATAAAATTCTCCTGTTCACTATGAAGAAACTTTTTTCCTTATTTTGCTATCATCTATATATTTCATGTTGCTTATAATTGTGGGAAGGCAATTTCCAAAAAAAAATATTACTAAAGAAAAAAACATTAACATTTTGGGCACCCACATTAACTTGTTCAATGGATGCTCAGTATTTACCTACATTTTTCTCTCCGGGTAACAAAAAAAAAAAGTGGTTTGAAATATGTTTGTATGTGTTTGCACATTTCAAACCTACTTGTAGCAGGCCTATGCGTGTAAATTAGGGGATCTTGTTAAAGCTCAAGCTTATGTTAACCTGTAGTTGAGCACAAATTTCTTAATAATTACTTGTTTAATTTACAGTGTGAGACATTCAATTAATAGGCGTTTTATTTTTTTCTCCTGCTTTTTAGACAATGGCAAGTTTACTATTATGTATGCTCTCCGAATACTAATTCTTAAAGTAACACATCAACAGTTACCACAAGAGCTAAGGGACATGAGTAAACTTTAAAATAATATTGAATTTTATATAGATGTTGAACTTTCTGCACCCTCCTATTTCCCATGTTCTTTTATCTATTAATTATCTGTAGCTATTAAATTTACCAAAGAAAACTCTCTCCCCAGAATCAAAACTTTTATTCCAAAATACAATGTTTCCAATGCTTATGCACCAGGAAGGGTAAGAACAGGTGAACAGAATGGAAGATTTATGCAGTGTCATCTTCCTAGGTCAGCTGACCGCATGAAACCATATACATAAGATCCAAATATTTGTTATTCATTTGTTGTTAAATCTGAAAGCTGAAGACAATGATATGAACATCAACACTGGTAATTAAGAGCTTGATCAATCATTTTATCAGCCAGTTCCAAGTAGCATGTCCTCTGGTCTCTGGTATCAGTTTTTCCTAAACCCTTGCTTGCTTGGGTAAATTTATCTAGAGCAGGGGTCCTCAATCCCGGGCCTGCAGAGCTCCCCACCAGTCAGAAAATTTGGCAGCAGAGAATCGGTGGCAATTAATATTGCTTTTCCTCCCCATGTCACCAAATTCCTCATGCAGCCATAGTCCCTACCTCCCTGTGGCCAGATCTGAGTCAGCCAGTCCCCTGCTCCTCTCTACACAGCTGGACCAGGCCGCTGCTGTGCATGCCCCACATGCTGAATTGCGCCCACCAGCCAGACCCAGCCCACAAGTGGAAAGGCACTGCCCATCCAGCCTTCAGGGCAAAAAGGCTGAACACCACTGATCTACAGCAGCAGTTCTTGACCTGTTTGCCATAGCAGGCCACATTGGCAGCTCTCAGTATTGTATGCTGGCTGCACCAACACAACTTACTGTGTATCCATTTAACAGGATGTCACATGGGCCACAGCAGTGGGCTGACTGCGGTTTTAAATACTGAAATATTACATCAATGTTCAATCTTCTCAAAAGTGACTCTCAATTTTTGGATGATTTCACCGTGACACTGAGTACTGAGTACCACTGGATAACTGAATTCCTTTAAGATGTCACGTTTATGTCACAATTTGTAAATACATTTAATATGAAACATCACAGAATTAGGACCAAAGTTGTAATCTAGACATTTGTTTTCCCTTGCAAGAGTCTGTATTCAACATCAACAACACTACAAAACCAATTCCTTAGGTCCAACAAACAGCTCAAAGGCTGGATCCAACTCATAGATCAAAGTGCAGGCAGCACAGGGAGCCAGAAAAGCCACCATATTCAGCCCACAACTGGACACCCTGTACTGCATGAAAAGCCAGGTCCAGCCCCACACAGGCCCTGGAGTTGGCACGGGGTTCAAGCTACTTATAAGCTCATGGACTGGACCTGGTATTGCACACGACAGGGGTCCAGGCTCAGGCTGCATGTGGTGTCCCAAACAAACACTCTCTGCTGCCTGAATTGCAAGATCCAGCTTGCATGCTGCAGACACCGCACACCCTGGGACGATGGGCCCTACGAACAGGCTGGGCCCAGCACTATGGACACTGCACAAGCAGTTGGGTGTGGTCCATCCCACAAACTGGCCCAGTGATGTTCATCTGACCAACAAGTCAGATGATTTGACACCCCTGCCTTAGAGCACTTTATTATATACCAGTTTATTGTTTAAGTATACAAAAAAAATAGCATTTACTCTATTTTTCTGTCAATACAATTAAAGAATAAGTCTTTTTAATGTTATACGCTTTATATAGCCATCCTATTCTCAACAAATTAATAGAAAGAATCAATTGTTCCATTATTTTATTAGATTTCTGGACAGTACTTGCCAGTTTACTTTAGCTTTTCTTCTTAGAAATCACTACTGCGGTTATCCAACTGCCC